ATAGAAGCTGGGGGAGCTGGCCGGGGGGCAGTGATCGCTGCTTGGGGACGGGCTGGGCATCGGTCGGCGGGTGGTGAGCAATCGTATAGTGTATCACTTGCTTTGTATATTATTATTATATTATTACTACTACTATTCTATTTCATTTTACTTCAATTATTAAACTGCTCTTATCTCAACCCATGAGTTTTCTGACTTTCACCCTTCCAATTCTCTCCCCCATCCCACCGGGAGGGGGAAGTGAGCGAGCGGCTGGGTGGTGCTTGGCTGCTGGCTGGGGTTAAACCATGATTTAAAAAAAATGCACTTTAAAAAAATGCAAATTTAAGGCATTAAAAGGGCAATAAAGAAGGTGCAGAGAAACCAACTCTGAAGGTTTCATTCCCCAGACCCTGCAGCTGCGAGGGGAGGACCCGGGACAAGACGCTGAAATTCTCACCCCTTCCTTGGCCACCAGCAGCTGCTTCTCCGCATTCTGTTTCTTGATGTTGTAGTACTGGACCTCCACCTCGTGGGTCAGCTGGAGCCACTTCTGCAGGGCCTCGGGCGCAGCCCAGCTGCAGTGGGACTCCAGCTCCTTCTCGGCGTTCTTGAGTGCCATCCGCACCTGGGAGAGAACCGGCCGGCGCGGCGTTGCAGCAGCGGCGGAGACAGCCTGCCCTCCTGCAAGATCATCCCAACCGCTGGCTGCCAACCCGGCGCTTTTAAGGCACCAGAAAATAGAAAAAAAGACTCCATGCAGCTTAATCTTACTCCTGACAGAAGCAGAGGTCATTAGGGGAGAGGGGGCACCCTGGTACTGCAGGCGAGAGGGAGAGAGGAGCGCGGCAGGGCAGCCATCCAGCAGACAAGGCTGCTGCTGGGATGACCAGAGCACCCTACAACAGTGCTTTCCCTTCACCCTAAAGGCGAGCTCCTTCCTCAAAAATTCCCAGCCATGGCGACGCTGTCCTGCCTCAGCACCTCAGCTCTCGGGGAGGGTAAGCAGAGCTGGCCTAGGCTACCTCTTCACACCAGCTCCTCTGCCTCCCAGCGGCACAAACTGCACGTAAACCCTCCAGAGCTGACAGCACGATGCGCAAGTTAGTTAAAAGAGAATCAGACTTAGGGAAGGATATTCAGGGTGCTTATCTGAGCCTCTAGAAAGCTCTGCAAAGCTTGCTGCCTGCCTGCAGGTCTGCAAAACCCACAGATTCCCCTCCTGAGGCAGAATCGCTGACAACGCTGTGCAGGCAATCGCCTTTTTTCTCTGCAGCTACTGAGCCAAGCAGAGGGAGCTTGTCAAGAGACAACTTTCACACTGGAGCAAGATGATAAAAATATTTAGACACAAAACATGTGCTGCTGGGTCAGGAAAAGAAACAACACGTCTGGAATCAGCAGTTTCTGCAGCTTTCTGGGGGACTCTCCTTCCATCCCCGCTCAGTCTCCTCCACACACCATCGGTCTGGTCTCCTCCACACGCTTACTTATCCTGCTGGAGATGGGAGCGGTTACAAAATTAGAAGAAAGTGGGTGACAAGCAAGTCGAAGATACCAAAACCTTACATAAAAGCATTTAGTGCTAGAGACCATCAAGAACTAACACTTCTCTTCCATTACACCTGATGTGGAGGGACTTTAATAAACCTGAAGCCTGACACAAGCCCTGCAAGAGGTTAACGTGTTCCACACTGGAGAAACCAAAGGATGGCGATTGCAGCTCGCAGCTGCTGCGATCCAGGGCCAGCACAGCGGTGGTGGACTGGACTACTCAAGCTGCGCCAGGGGAGGTTTAGATTAGATATTTGGAAAAATTTCTTCACGGAGAGAGCGGTCAGGCCCGGGCCCAGGCTGCCCAGGGCAGGGGTGCAGTCACAGCCCCTGGAAGTGTTCAACACACGTGGGGGTGCTGAGGGGCAGGGCAGAGAGGAGGACTTGGCAGTGCAGTCACACCCTGGAAGTGTTCAAAACACCTGTGGATGTGGTGCTGAGGGGCAGGGTTTAGAGGTGGACTTGGCAGGTAGGTTAACGGTTGGACTCGGTGATCTCAGAGGTCCTTTCCAACCTTAACGATTCTGTGATTCTACTCTTCAACCACGGCACCTCGAAGCTCAGAAGGGATATATGTGGTTATGCACTCTACAACAGACTTTCTTGCTGTTAAAATAAAAGCCAACCCTAAGCACCTTCAAGAGCTTTCACCGCCCCGGCAAGCCCTGGCCCACCAAGGCCGACCTTCTCCTAACAGAGACGGAGCTCGGGGAAAGGCCCAGCTGCGGCACGGCCAGCTACGCAGCCAGGGCCGCCCGTGTCACTGGGACGATGCCTGGGTGATGTCCGTCCAGTCTTCTCTTTCTGCTCTTTAGGGCCCGGGTCTAAGAAGCACAGAGGCCGTGGGAGCATCCAGCGCCCTGCTCGGGCGCCGCACCAGACCCTTCCCAAAGCCCAGTGCGCGCTTCCCACAGCCGTGCTCACGCCCACCCTTGCCTGGTGCCGGTGCCTCTTCGCTTCCTACAGAGCACAGCCGCAAGCGGACTGAAGATAAGCATTTTTTTAACAGATTGCTCAAACTTGGATCTTTTCCCTTAACGTGTTATTTAACTCAGTCACGTCTCACCAAGTCTGGCACAGGCGTAATTTCTAGCAAGCCAAAAGCACCAGGTTACACACAGATATTTGAAATCCCATATTTTATCCCAAAGTACATTTGCAGGGTTCATCTAGAAGTAGCCAGGAGGCACTGCACAGAAGAGGCCAACTACTTATATCACTTATGTGTGATTTAGCCTTGTTGAGCATAACGCTGCCTAAGTAGTTCCAAAAGTTACAAATTCAGAATGGCAGGCGCTGGGAAGGTCTGCTTTTTCCCCTCTGACACCAGTGGCACCAGGCGCTGCTCCCACCACAGGCAGAACTCTGACCACGATCTGCAAGCATCTGGGATTTAGGAACAGGGAGAATAAGTGGGCAGAAAATCCGCCACTAGGTATTTGGGATAGAGGAGTGCTCACAGCATTTACAGGAACAACGTTTTTATGGAACGGTGGAAAAGGGAAGCAGTGCAGAACAACAGCCAAGGACCAGTGGTGGAGATGAGCCATCATACACAAACCCCCTGGGTTCTGCAGGGGCATCAGTACAAATGGGAGTCATCTCGTGCGTCTGCATTCTCCTGGGAAGATTTCTAAGATCCCATTTTGACCACGAAGAGCGACAATTTATAAAGCGAGGAATGCCCTCTGGGTCTGCAGCCCCGGCTGGGTCCACGGTCTGGAGGAGGATGACCTCGTGAGGAGAGAGGGTTGGTATGAACAACTCAGTACGGGAGAGTCCCGTCCCAGAAGTACACTGCTTCTCCATCTCATACGCCCGACTCCAGCAGGAGCTTCCAAACCCTCCAGTACCGTTTTAGTGATGATCAACTGGTGCAAAAGAAGGTCTCGTTTTAATATTCCCTGGGACCCAAGAATACCTTAAAACTGGATGAGTTTTATGGTCGGGGGAGTGACTGGTTAATGTTATCTGTGGTCTACAGCTCGCTGGGACGGTGGTCGTGTTATAATCACACAGTGTGGGTCAGGTGGGTAAAACCAATACTCACCCTGTCAACGCATCCCTCCCGAAGGCCTCTAAGAAACAACAGAGCGGTTAAGTCACCTCTGGCTTTTCGGGTTTCTTAACAAATGTAAAGTAGAGGGGGAAGTGGAATGGATGAGACCCTGCCTTCTCCAAAAGCAGGTCAGGTACAAGGGCTGGGGGTTACAAGAGGAAGGCTGCGCATCCTTATTTAATGGCCCACAATACAAAATGGCTGGATTTCTGTGGGCGTGTGAATACGGACGCCCCAACGCGTGTCCTGAAACGGAGCTCAGTGACTTTGCGGAGAGGCCGGACGACCAGCTAGGAGGACCGATGTTGGATCACGAGAGCCAAGCTGTACCAGATGCCTGCGGGTGCCTGGGCCGTTGGTATTCCAAGCAGGAAGGAAATTTGCTGTTTGCTGACTATTTGCATACCTAGGCTACACTGCCCCATGGCTCCCTGCTTCCCTGATGGCCCAGGACACTTGTTTCTCCCTCGTCAGCGGAAACCCTAGATTCTTGTCTCGTTTTCTTCCCCATCCTCCATGGTGGCATAGAAGACTGGGCACGGTCAGGTTGGGAGGATATGCTGACGGCCTGGAATACCCAAGGTACTCGCTTGGCTCACGCCATTCTGGCTCACACAATTTCAGTTTAACCTGATCTATAAATTGAAGTCAGATAAGAATTGTCCCTCAGGCAAAATAGGAAGCAGCAACTGGAATTGTGTTTTTGGACTTTCTCTGTAGGTTTGCGCAAAGGGCAGTTTTGAGGTAAAATTCCCAGACGCTCGCTCTTTGCCCTCTCTTACTGCAGGCAGGTGCCATGAGCAACCTCCTTGAGTTCCATTATTGCCCTACAGCTTTGTTAAAGGTCTCAGAGTCTTTAGATATAGGATTGGGAATGCTTTTTCTGACCTAGGACAAATTATTTTACAAATGCTCTGTGTATCCTTCAGGACCAAACGCGTTTCATTTTTACCAGCAGCAGCATTATACACAATATTCTGTCTAGGCCTACATTACGATATGTAACTTGGGGGCATATTTTCCTGCTATTCTAAACTTAAAACTAATGTTTTTGAGACTTGCATACGAACTCTAACCTTGCTGTACAGATTGTAATCGAGTGCTAAATTCTGTTGGAAGGAAATTTCTGTCGTACACCTCCCTGACCCACAAGAAAACACGATAAGCACAACCGAACTCATTCTAAATCTCTCCTGAAACCATGAATAGATACAAAAGGGAAAAAAGAACGAGCTTATGGTTTGGAGTGGGAGTTAGAAGCCATCAGAGGGGAGCAGGTACAGGTCAAGTTCAACGCCTCTCCTTCTGCAGGGCAAGCTGGGACGGCGCGGGGTAGCACACATGACTCTCGAGACAGCGCCTGCACGGTCCCTGCTACCCAGCACACAGCAGCACTGTTACAGAGTACGGGGCACGTGTGACGTGGAGTAGTGGAAGAAATACTTGGGTCTTTTCCTCCACAAAGGGAGTGGAAAAGCAAAGGCGGAGGAGCATTATAAGCAGAGCATCACTGGGTTTCTCAGAGGGTGAAGCAGAGTGAGGAACTGCCTCCTGCTCTTGCTGGCACGTCTCGCATGCAAGTGCATCCATCTGGCCGAACCCTTACCTGCTCCAGTTCTTGCTCAGCGTATTTCTGCCTGCTCAGTTCATTCTCCGTGCCCTCCCGCAGTTCTCGGAGGCGGTGTGCCTCCTGCTTGGCGATGCTGATCTCATCCTGCAGTTTCTTCTCCAGGTGCACCTTTTCCACCTCCACAGAGCGATGTTCCTCCTGAGCCTTCTGCAGCCTGCAACACAGAGAGACCGAGAGCCCGGTGCTGCGCCTGTCGGGCTGTCTGTACACAGCCGAAGGAGGCCACAGGGCAAGGGCCGGCCAGCCACAATCTAGACCAACCCTGCTCTTATTTACTCTATGTTGATGTCAACAGAGATCTGTATTTGGAAAGTCAAGGAGAAAGTTCACCATGCCCGGGAAGAAATTAAATTGTCAACTCCACAGTCTCAACTTTGTTTCACTTATTAAATACTCAGTACGTATTTTCTTAATTTTCCAAAGCACATCAAGATTTCCTTAAATAAGCCTCGAATTAATTTGAATTTTCAGTGTTTTTACAAAAGTGCCTTTGGCTTTAATAAAAAAAAAGGAGGGGAAGATCTGCCTGAGCAGGTATGACCACCCAGATGGGATGTGTCTGTGTTCCCCTTGCAACTGCCTTCAAATTTAGACATGTCTTAATCTTGCCTGGAAGTTATTATTTTTCCTCGTGACAATTAAATCAG